CTCAGAAATAGGCCAAAAGTACCATAAAGACAAGAATGTTATGTATGCTATGACTGGCATTTTAAAACTAGTTGATAAATACATTATTAATAAGATTATTAGGTTAAGTTTTATTAAAATCAATGCTGGATCATTGGCTCAGACAGTATAGAAGATTTTGTTTGAGTGATTATGCAACTTATTCTTGAGAATTAAAACAATACTGGTGGCAACACTTTCTGAAAACATAGTCATTAGATTGGTGCTTTAGCTTACCAGATATTTATTTCTTGCTCATATACCACTGAGATGGGAAATCTGACAACAATACTGCTGGAAGGCTCTGCAGCCTGCCACTCCCCACCAACCCCTGAGGTCAAAGAGAGCCATCTGATGGACAGACAGAACACACGAGGTAAAGCACAGCATGCATTCTGGCAGACCACTGCGTCCTGGCTGAGAAACAGTGCACAACTCGCTACCCACACGGCCTGGGGAGATGTGAGCTGGGTGGATGAAGAAATCAGAAGCAAGCTGAGAAATGTAACTGTTTTCCTTCGGTTTTATTATTCGGGAAAACAGGAAGCACAATTAGTTTTTGATGCAACACAGAGGACTTCATAAAATATATTTGAAAGATGAAGTTCCTTTTTTTGCTGAATTATGTGTTCATTTTATTTTTAGTTTCATGAAGAATCTCCAAATTGTTTTCTATAATTCCAATAATGATTCATATTACGAAGAATACACAAGCATGCTCTTTGCCTCAAACACTTGTGAGCAATCACTATATATTTTTCTTTTGATACCAGTGTGAAAATACATCTCATATGGTTTATCTTAGTCTCCTACATTAGCCTGATTAGAATTACTTCTGTGTCTACTGAACATTGGTATGGCTTTTGAGAAAAGTCCCTCTGGTCTTTGCTTATTTTAAAATTAGATTTCTTAACTTCGTCCCATTGAGTACAATTCTGTATTTATTTTTGATATTACTAACTAATCACATGTATGGTTGATAAACATTTTTTATAATATTTATGATATCGCTTCACACCATTAATTGTTTGCTTTGTTTTGAAGAAAACTGTTAATTTGATGCAATTTCATGTGTTGATTAATTTTTTTTTTAATTTATTGCTTGTGACCAGGTTCAATTTCAAGAAATCTTTGGGCAGATTAACTTTGTAGAACTTTTACCCTATACTTTACATCAATAGATTTAACATTTTGTGTCTTAATTGCTTAATCATTTCTGTGCTAATTTTTATATATGGCGTATGATCAAGGTACATTACTGAAGAAAGACAAATTTTAGTGTATACAACTATGTAACTATTGAAAATATAAGTATGTTGTAAATGCAGTAAGAAAACAGCAGCTTACAGCAGAAAGCTTATATTATAAATGAACAATCTACTCAAATAGTGATTAATCCTGTATAAAATGGGGAGCTTAAGATATTGATATTACAAGCATAATCAAGTCAGAAATTATCTTTTCTCTCACAAATGTGAAGTTTAAGTGAACCAACACTGTAGATGTGAAATAATTGCTTCATTTAAAATACAAATTATTTTTCTGTATTTTAGGGAAGGGCCTAAGAGGTGTTCAGGGTCTCACTACTAGATCAGACACATAGTGATTCTCCTGTTTTCAGCCTCCCACGTGCTGGGCTTACAGGTGCGTGCCACCACTCCCAGCCTCAGTTGTGCCCCAGGGGCAGGGCCGGCATGGCAGCCCTGGGGATTGAACTCCCAGCTCCACCCCTGAGCTATTTGGCTGGTCCTAAAATACAAATTATTCACCAGAACAAATAAGTATAATTCAAATAATTGATCTCCCAATGGAATACCCTGGTACATTTAGCTTCACTACTTTGTGCCGTACATGAAGTACAACAGCGAGAAAGTGTTCTGCCTTTCCAATGGAGCGGTACAACCAGTGCTCACTACAGTGCAAAATAGAGGAAGAAGGCGCACTGGTAGAGCAGGCAGTCGGGAGTTAAAAATTTCATGTAAAAGAATGAAGAATAAGCCAGTATACTAAGATAGCATATATGATACGCTAATATAATAAATACAGCATACTATATTGCAAGCCACATTATTCTTGTGAGATAACTAGTTTAATACAGAGAAAAATTCCAAAGGGGAATTCACCTAATTTTCTTTTTTTATTTTAAAAAAGGGCATGGTGGTGTGCTCCTGTAATTCCAGTACCAGGGAGGCTGAAAACAGGAGGATCACTACGTGTCAGATCTGCATAGTGAAACCCTGTACCAAATACATTTTGTTAAAAAGGGGAAAATTTTTAAAAATAAAAATAAAAATGATACAGAATCTCAAAACAAGACAATAGGAAATTAACAGTGGTTGTTATATTGTGTATTGTTTCTATCAAAGTAGTTGTTCAGATTTTCAGAAATAAGCATACAAAATTGATCAATTAGACATTAACTTTTTCTTTAAATATATATATATATATATATATATATATATATATATATATATATATTCAGACAATTGTAGTCCTATAGAATTGTGACCAAGTTGGCTCACATTAAAAAGTGAGGACATTACCCAATGTACACACTGACATGCAGATGGGCATTATGTTGTCATGGCTGATACATTTTGTTAACTTGAGAAGTGAGAACATGAGAGGCTTCACTGTGTGATTCAGCAGGGTCCAGGGTCCTCGCTTTGGAAACATCCTGAACCTGTGTGTGAGAGAGGAGGCCAGAGTGATGGTGTGGGCGGGCAGCCTGCACACAATATAAAGGGGCGGGGAGAGCCCGCTCCCCCAACACACTGTCTTGAGGCTTCTTCTGTCATTTATCTCATGGAACTGCTGCCCTTCTGCCACACCTCCGTGCCTGGGAGACAGCGGAAGACACAGGGAAACTTCTACAAGCTGAGAGCTAAATAAATCTTTCCACCCTTAATTTTGGATGTCATGTGTTTTGTCTCAGATATAAGAGAAAAGTAAGACATAGATAGATACATAGATAGATAGACAGATAGATACATACATACATACATACATACATACATACAGAGATACAGAGATACATAGATAGATACATAGATACATAAATAGATACATAGATAGATACATAGATACATAGATTTCTAAGTGATTAGTTTTTGTTTGTAAAAATGCCACTTTTATGCCTTTAATGTCCTTCTAATTGTATTGGTAAATTTAAAAAAATGAACAGGCTTGTGTCATAACCAGAAAAGTTATAGATATGCATATTTATTATCAAAGTTCACTCTATACATCACAAGATTTTCTCTTTTCCAAACCAAATCTTTAAAACAGAGGAAACAGTATGGCAGAATAACAAAAAGTAGTGCGATCACTATATATGAATATTCATATGTTAATTTTAAAAGCAGCTAAGGTGGACTGGTGAGACAGCTCAGTATACTAAGAGCATTCTTAGGCGAGCACAGGGACAGGGGTCCGATCCCTGGCACCATGTGCTGTGCCAGCCCCATCCCGGGCACACTGAGCCAGCCTGCAAACCCGGGCGTGGTGGCACATGCCTGCAATCCCAGTGCTGCGGGGGCTGAAAACAGGAGAATCACTCCGAGTCCAACCTGCATAGTGAGACCCTATACCAAATATATATTTTTTAAATGGTATGATATAATAAATGTGTTGGAAACTTTGAATGCTATATATTTTTCCTGTACCATAAAATATAATAAGTAATAAATATGTTTCTATATTTCTTAAAAGTATTCTGAGTAATCTCTTGAAATCTGCCTAGAGAAGGCCAGTTAAAATTCTGAAATAAAACACAATACTTGCATATTGTGTTCTCCCCCTAGTGGAAGAACTTCAAAGGGTAAATAATATCTGAAAAGTACAATATATATACTAAAAGGCAAAGAAACTGCTCAAAAAGAAGAACAATTGGGACGAAGGAAAGGAAAAACAATTGTACTGCTAGTTTCTCTTTGTATGTTGAAGGGAATGGTTAATGCCTAAAATTTTATTTTGACCAATTTTACATGCTTATATCTGGTAATCTGAGCAACTACTTTGAAGACAACAATGTGCAATAAAGCAATCACTGTTGATTTTTATCATCTTGTTTTTTAAAACTCTGTATTGCCTCCCATGTTTTATGCACTATTTTATTCTTATTAAAATGAAATGCTAGAATTCAAAATGCTACTAAAATGGGGTTATCACCTTCTGATGCTCATTGTAAAATGTAAACCATGAATGTCATCTAAAATTGATAGCATAGGATAATAAATAAGGCCTTTAATATTACTTTTGTGTAATAAGTTAGAGTCCATTTGAAAGTGAAAACTCACATGGCATGTAGTAGCTTAATGTTGTTTAAAGCATATAATTAACTTCACACAAAATTGACAGCAATGTTGTCCTTAAAAATAACAGTACGGTGCTACCTTGCTGAGGGATGCTTCTGCCCACAAACAATTCAGCTGCCGACCAGAAGGGGTGGGCGAACTTTGCTTCTCTGCCAGCTCCAGGGCTACTGAAGAACGCCATCACTGCCATCTCCTGCAGTGTCCTAGAACAAACGAAGTACCTGCAAAGAGGCAGCACTATAACGCATGGTGAGGGTTCTTCCATTTAAACATTCTGACATAGCAACATACTATATAATTATGAACCAGTCTGCTAAGTGCAAAAAAGGACCATGACAGATCTTTTACAAGTAGGATTTAAATAAGAGGAATCTTGCAAAACAACAAGACTCTAAAAAAGGCTGTTCAGATTACAAATCAAATGACTGAATTTAACCACATTTGGAAGGCAAAATTGATGGATGGCCTCAGCATGTTTTCTCCATCAAAAATTGCATAATCCAGAATCACAGTTACAGCCACTTCATTTCTGAGCAGCAATTCCCTGTCCAACTAATATGGCTTTATGTCTACTCACTGAAACACAAATAACATGCTTCCCCAGACTTAGCTGAAACCTCTTCTCCCACCTATGGTCGAGGTGGGCATTGATCCTCAGGATAAGTTCTACCTCGTCATAACTATTCTGCTGACCACTTTGTGCGCAGCCTCCTTCACATCCTTGTTCCTCAGGCTGTAGATCATGGGGTTCAGCATAGGAATCACCGTGGTGTAGAACACGGCCACCATCTTGCCCTGCTCCACAGACTCCTCCATGGGGCTCCTGAGGTACATGAAGAACAGCGTCCCATAGAATATGGTGACGGCCGTCAAGTGAGACCCGCACGTGGAAAAGGCTTTCTTTCTTCCCTCCGCAGAGCGCATTCTGAGGATGGCAATGAGAATGAATATGTAGGACACAATGATGACCAGTAAGGAGTACGAGAAGTTGAGCCCAGCCAAAGCGCGCATGGTGTATTCTTTAACAGTGGTCCCAGCACAGGCCATCTTGATGAGAGGTGGATCTGCACAGTAGAAGTGGTTGATCTCAACTTTTCCACAGAAGTACAAGCCATATGTCCACAGTGTTGCTGCCAGACTTGTCAGAAAGCCATACACATAAGGGAAAGAAATCAGGCGAATACACACAGCCCTTGACATTTTGCTTCCATAGAGTAGGGGGTTCCCAATAGCCATGTATCTGTCAAATGCCATCACAGCAAGAATGAAAATTTCCACATGGACAAGGGCGATGAAAAAGAAACACTGGACCAAGCAACCAGCATAAGAAATAGTTTTTGTCTCTGATAATAGGTTTTCTAACATCTTAGGAGTGACATTGGATGAAAACCACACATCAACAAATGACAGATGGCTCAGGAAAAAGTACATGGGACTGCTGAGCTGTGGACTGACTTTAATTAACACAATCATGCCAATGTTGCCCACAACTGTAACAACATAGACTATGAGAAATATGATGAAGAAGGTCACTTGCCACTCCCAATGGCTGGTGAGTCCCAAAAGAATAAATTCTGTCACATCAGTGAAATTCAGCATTTCCATAATTCTGTCTTTAGGACTTGTAGCTGTGGGAAAGTAAAGCAAATGAATAGATTAGAAATACTTGTACAAATGAAATGTATTCTTGCAGGTTTATAAAGAGGAAGGAAATAGAGTAAAATGATTGACACATTTTGCAAAACTGTCAGACTTCTAAATGTGACTCTCAGCACTTAGCAAATTTCATATCCTATGTAGAATGCAATGTTCAAATTTATCCTCAAAACATTTTACCAATTTTATTGCTAAGAAAGCACTAGCAACTTCTATAATGTTCATAGACATGATGGGAAAGTATTCTGCTATCAGATAATAGGGGAAAAATTCAGGTTCTATCTAATTACTTACAGATATAAAATATATGGAGTGCAGTTAACCATATGAGGATTTGTGGGTGAAAAACTTTGTTGCATTTATTCTTCCCACTAAACTCAAAGATAAGGTGTGTGTCTGTCTGTACCTTACATAGATAGCATAGAGATGAAAGAGAATACAGTAAACTCAATGCATGTTCATGTTTGACACCACAGAGAGGGTAAGTCCATGCCTAACAGCTTCAAACAGCTTAGCAGAGCAATGGATTTTGGAGACAAGATAGCGTTTGTGTCACACCATTGAAAGCTTAAATGCCATGTCTAGGACAAATAGTTTTCCCAAGGCCATGTCTAACCTTCAGTCATGCACTTTTCATGTAACAATTGACTAGTCCACACCCACACGCCCTCACTGCTGGACCAACAGAAAAGGCAGAGAGCAGGAAAGAAGCTAAGCTTCATCAGGACAGTGAGGCAGAGGAGGCCAGTCTAATGATGATCTGTCGCTTTTCCCTCAGGGAACTCGAAAAGGATATTTGCAGAAGGATAGAGCAACATTTACCAAGTACAATGGGTGGACCAGAGTCTTGGGGGAATTACTGAAACTCAAGGCAGTACCAGCGGGTAAAGTGCTTGTAGACTGTGCAAGACAAAGAAAGTGATCTAATATTTACATAGGCTGCCTCAGAGAAGACTCATGTACATGCTGAAAAACCTGTGATGAAGCTAAATTTATGTCTAAATTAGTATTAAATATGGACCACAAGTATATGCCTGCCCGAACTGTTTGTCATTGTTGTTGGTGGTGGCTGTTTTTTCTTTTAAAGAGAAAGAATAAACAACAACAAATAACAAGAACAAAAGCAGAAGCAAAGCAACATAAAGCAATAGAATTTCAAAACAATAATAGAGGGACAGGGAGATGGCTCTGTAGAATAAGCACTTCCCTGGCAAACACAAGGGCCAGAGTTCAATCCCCAGTTCTGCCAAAAAATAAAAATAAAAAATAATTGAAAATTTACAGTGGTTGTTACATTACACATTATTATTAAAAAATTTGTTTGTCAGATTACCAGATATAGGTATACAAGACTGAACAAAAAACTAAACATTAACTCTTCCTTTCAATAATGCTTAATTGTTTTCCTTGTACATTTTACTTTTTATTTTTTAATGTTTTTGAGATCATATAATGATAATATTAATAATAATAAAGACATTAGAGCCAGTAAACATTTAAAAGAACAAGATGAAAGGCAACCAGCTATGGTTGTTATATTGCAAACTGATGATTTGTTTAACTTTCAAAAATTGGAGACAGTGAAGGTCTTATTTGAAATGAGATAACTATATCCTAGCAAAGAAGGTCCAACACAAAGAAAGTCATAAAACATGGAATTTTTAGTACTCACAAAAGGTAACTTATTGTGATATATGAGTCATGGTTGACCATACATTCTACAACAAAAGGAAAACCACAGGGCACCTGGAATAGCTGCCGCCCATCTCAGAGCATGTGAGCTCTTCAACAAAGGAAGGGGTGTAATGCTCCGGACATTTTCAGGATTCCCTCACCATCCAGTGCAGACCTGCCCACACTCTGTTCTCTTATTGTAGCATTGTATTTTAAGGTAACGGAACAACAAAAATAAGATTACTTCACAACAAATACATAGCAATAATAATTTCCTCAGCTCAATGATTTCATTTCCACTGTCTGGAGTTAAATGAATCCAGGCTCCATAGCTTATCTTCTAGACATGGCCGTGTGTTTTTTCAGCTTTGTTTTGCTATTCATTTTCTGTCTCTTAAGGGACTTATGTTTTGACATATACTTTATTGTGCATAAATATGATAAGACATAGTGCTCATTTACACCTTTTAAATACACAAGAGAAAAATTACTCAATGTGCTTCATCAAACACATAGTCATCAACTCAAATCTCCATTGAAAACCTATCACTTATGTGTTTCTTTCTCCCACAGGCAGTTTAAACAGAATGATTCATCTGTTCCTATGAAGAGTAAAATAAATCAAATTGAAGACATATGTTGCATCCAATAGGTAACTTCTTACCTACCTGGGCATCTGGAGAAATGTCGCTGAGAATACAGAGGTAGAAAGTAAACATATATAGGCAAATGATAAACCACTTAACCTGGCACAGGAGACACTGGGAGCAGCCTACGAGGTAAACATCCTCTAGGTGTCTGTGTTGCAAACACGAGCAATTAGGAATGTTGCCCTCTAGGAAAGGCTCATGGGAAATGACACCTCCAGAGGAAGAGTCAACTGCTCAGATTTATTTTCTTCTCAAAAACGGTAGCAACAAATAGATTCAGACAAGTTCATTTCCCCCATATGTCAGTTATTTTGAGTGGTCTCTTGTTGATTTCCTGATTTTTCATCCTATATCCCAGTGGGTTACTAATAAGGAATGAAGGACCCATCACTTGTGATCCAAGACCTGTGAAGCCCTAAGTTGTGGAGCTGAGTTTCGTGAGAGTCTTCACAGAGAATGCCGGGAGACTCCAGGGCACTCAGCACACCACATGGCGAGAGCACTGCGTGCAAAGGACAAAGCCATCCGGGCTTTGGTAACTGATCTAGTCTCAGTAAATCCATTCGTGACCCACCTATCTCTTGTAGGTCCCACCGAGTTCCACGTTGTCATATTCCAACATAGAGATTAAAGATCTGCTTGAATGTTCATGGAAACGTTCAAATAAGAGTGAATCGTTCTAGGGAATCAAACAAAATTAGTTTTGGTTTCGCAATATGAACGGTGTTGATGAGGTCACCCAACCTGTGTGTACCAAAGCTACGCTATGTAGCTCACAGTCTATGGCACTTGGCTTTAACAGGAAATGAACTGAGTGGCTGTGGCCTCAGGTCAGGACTGAGCTGGATGAGAAGCGAGCCTGATTCAATGCTTAATGCTGCCCCCTAGGGAAACCTGTTGGGGTTCTCATCCAGCATGGTTTTCTTCCAGAATTATGCAGAGCTGAGTTTCTGAACTGTAGCACCCCAGCATTTTCTTCATTATCATAGATAACTCTTTCACTTCTACCATTTTTAAACTAAAATGTATACTACTAATTTCCATTAGTTCATGGAAAGGAACAATCAGTTTTGCATGCCTATATCTTTTAATCTAAACCAGTTTGAAGACAATGATATACAATGTAAATGAGTATCATTAATTTCTATCATCTTGTTTTAAAATTGTTTGATTTTTTTGTTCCACTCTTTAAAATAAAAAAAAAAACTGTTGAACATAAACTGCATTTACTGATGTAAACACATCCCCTGTGCTAAAGTAAGTTAATTTTTGTGTTAACTGTTGAGGCAAACATTATCAGTCCTTTTTATTAAAAAATGTTTGCCTTTCAAAGATTTGAGACTGATTTACAGTGACTCTCTGTGCACCTGCGGTCAGATTCCTGATAGCAGAGTTTGCGGTTACCTACTTCATTCGATTGCCCAAGAAGTAGTTTTAAAAAGAAAACAACCACCGTTCTCAATTCCTGATCCCACCGATAACTGTTCTTCACGATGATGTTCTGGTGTTGAAGAACTTGATGAAAGAAATATCCTTCCTTTTCCAATTCAAATACAATGCATTACTTTTTACAATAATACAATTCATAGACTCACTCTATCAGTTAAATTACTAGTCATCATTTTATTTATTTTTTTAATATATTTTAGTACAGGGTCTACAGGGCAAGCAGGATCTCACAATGTAGGTCATACTCACAGTGATCCTACTGTTTATCAACCACCCAGTTGCTGGGATTACAGGCACAGGCCACCACGCCCAGTCTCTATTGCGATCTATGCGTACCCCTGGGGCGGTGCCAGCATGGCAGACCCGGGATCGAACCCCAGCCACTGAGGTCTACCTAAGCAGGCATTTTAGTTCACTGAGCTGTCTCACCAGCCCTTAGTCACCATTTGAAGTTACACACAAGAACAAAAATGTTGTACATGTTAATCAGAGTATCCTATGATGTTCAATATGCACACATGTTCAACATTCTTTGCATCAAGTTAAACGATCTACAGAGACATTTATCATTTCTGTGTGATGAAATGTATACAACCTTTTCTATTATCACTTTGAAATGCACAGAGATGATTCCGTAGTTACTTGCTGTGTAATAACAGCACACCACAGCTCTTGGCTCAGTACTGATTTACAAATCTGGTCTCAGGGCCATGGATGCAGCTCAGTGGCACAAGCGTTTGCCTGGCAAATGAAGGTCCTCAGTTTGATCCCTAGTACCCAAAAGCAAACAAATAAATGGGCCACAAATAGCCATTAAATCTTTCCCACAGAGCCAGAGAAGTGTGGATAACGTCGCTGGTGCATTTGACAATCAAGTTTAACTATCACAGATGCCAGCTCCTGGTGCACCAGTGTCACTATTTATTCTGCTACCCTCCTGTGCAGATATTGCCAAAAGAACAAAGGTGACACTCCTTACAAGTTAACTATCAGGGTGGATTTTTATTTATGTGTCACACTAAAGCCTTGAGAAAACAACTTTTCCTATTTTCTTCATTTCTAAGAACTAAACAAGTTGTGAACTAAACACAGTTAGATCATGGCACTCAACAAAAATACACCAAGGAAGAGAATGAGTAGATAAAGAACAGGCTAGCACGCTGAGAGATAAGCTGA